ATTGAGGTCAGGGCTTTGTGATGGCCACTCCAATACCTTGACTTTGTTGTCCTTAAGCCATTTTGCCACAACTTTGGAAGTATGCTTGTGGTCATTGTCCATTTGGAAGACCCATTTGCGACCAAGCTTTAACTTCCTGACTGATGTCTTGAGATGTTGCTTCAATATATCCACATAATTTTCCTTCCTCATGATGCCATCTATTTTGTGAAGTGCACTAATCCCTCCTGCAGCAAAGCACCCCCACAGCATGATGCTGCCACCCCCGTGCTTTACGGTTGGGATGGTGTTGTTCGGCTTGCAAGCAACCCCATTTTCCCTCCAAACATAACGATGGTCATTATGGCCAAACAGTTCTATTTTTGTTTCTTCAGGCCAGAGGACATTTCTCCAAAAAGTACGATCTTTGTCCCCATGTGCAGTTGCAAACCGTAGTCTGGCTTTTTTATGGCGGCTTTGGAGCAGTGGCTTCTTCCTTGCTGAGCGGCCTTTCAGGTTATGTCGATATAGGACTCGTTTTACTGTGGATATAGATACTTTTGTACCTGTTTCCTCCAGCATCTTCACAAGGTCCTTTGATGTTGTTCTGGGATTGATTTGCACTTTTCGCACCAAAATACGTTCATCTCTAGGAGACAGAACGTGTCTCCTTCCTGAGGGGTATGATGGCTGCGTGGTCCCATGGTGTTTATACTTGCATACTATTGTTTGTACAGATGAACGTGGTACCTTCAGGCGTTTGGAAATTGCTCCCAAGGATGAACCAGACTTGTGGAGGTCTACAATTTCTTTTCTGAGGTCTTGGCTGATTTCTTTTGATTTTCCCATGATGTCAAGCAAAGAGGCACTGAGTTTGAAGGTAGGCCTTGAAATACATCCACAGGTACACCTCCAATTGACTTAAATGATTTCAATTAGCCTATCAGAAGCTTCTAAAGCCATGACATCATTTTCTGGAATTTTCCAAACTGTTTAAAGGCACAGTCAACTTAGTGTATGTAAACTTCTGACCCACTGGAATTGTGATACAGTGAATTATCAGTGAAATAATCTGTCTGTAAACAATTGTTGGAAAAATTACTTGTGTCATGCACAAAGTAGATGTCCTAACCGACTTGCCAAAATTATAGTTTGTTAAAAATACATTTTTGGAGTGGTTGAAAAACGAGTTTTAATGACTCCAACCTAAGTGTATGTAAACTTCCGACTTCAGCTGTATGTGTACATTTATTTTGCAACGCTTGCGCACGCAATGCAGCTGGTGTTGTCATTATTATGTTAGGCTACAATGTAAAATAAAGCTTACATTGAATGCTGAGATCAGCGAGAAAAAGCCTAAAGGGGGATATATATATATATATATATGATTTTAAATTGTGCAAGATAATGTGGAATAACTAAAAACAGCATCTGTATTTGCATACTGTAGCTTGCCAAAATTCCCTCTCACAGCTCTGAAAATATATGAGCAGAATTGTAATCTTAGGAACAGCTTTTTTAGAAGGCCTGTTTAGGAAACTAACCATATTCTATTGACTAAGGACTTATTCCTGCCCTGTACACTGTAAATTATATATTCTATTGATCCAATACCTTTGTCTCTTTCGTTTTCTGAGTTACGATCACTGGACAGATTTGTTCTAGGTCAACTGCAGGTTCCATATGTTGTGATTTTCTTCTGGAGAGATCTGATCCAAATGTTTAAACAGTTTCAACAGGCCTACTATAGGAATGCGTCCCAAATGTCACCCGTAGTGCACTACTTTTGACCAGGGCCCATAGTACACTATATAGGGAATAGGGTCCCATTTTGGAAGTACACTAGGTCTGCTCCAATCACTTAGTGACATCTTGAGTTGTAGCCTATGCGTGCCTGCTTGAGCTGTATGCAAAGGTCTCTCTCTACTCTCATGTAATTCTTTGGCATGCATGTCAGTGCATGCACTGTCTCTTTGTGTGGTCATGAGTTACTTCCCTTTGCATACATGTATGTGGATCTCCTATCTCCCCTGCATGCAAATCTGTTTGAATTAATGTATAGCAAGCCTATATGCTACATATTAAGTCAGTGTGCATTCAGCAGGGAGCTGTGTCTGGCTGCGTTGTAATGATTTGCATGTTTGGCCTCTGTGGACTGGAGATGAAAGCTTTGAAAGCTGTTGTCTTCTCGATGGAGCAGATCGTGCCGCGTCTTGTCCCATCCTATCAAGCCAGAGACTGGGAGGCTGAATTCTCTGCCAGCCTAGCAGCATGGCATGCCATGCACAATCATGGAGAAAACCTGGTAAAGTTGGTGCTGGTGCTCAACCATAACCACTCACCAGATATTATTTTTGGCAACGAAATTGCAGTATTTGAGGTAGTGAGGAGGCAGAGGACCGAAGAGAGAGCTTGCCTGAAGTATACCCTGCCAGAAGTATAACTTGCCAGCCTGGCATGCATAGTCATGAAGAAAGCTTGGTGAAGCTGGTGCCTGGTACTTAGCCATAATAACCACTCACCAATTCTTTGTTTTGGCAAAGCTAGCAGTGAGAGGTGCCAGGAGCTTGTCCAAGGGATGTAGCGTTGCATAACGTACTATTAGAAATGCATTGTGTAGAACAGATATGATTGTCTGTCAGATAGAAAAGGGAATTGTGTCAGCTCTATTCATTCTATTTCTATCTGCAGTGTTCAGAACATTTCAGGCTGGCAGGGTAATTAATACACAGGAAGGCTCTCTGTTCGGTCCTCAGCCTCCCAAACTTCACTGAATACACATGCCAGTTATTTGAATAGAGCAGGGACTATTTTGACAGTCTGAAACCTGCAGATAGTTTCATTTGTTCTGTGTTGGTCCAAATGTAGTCATGGACTTAATAGAAGACTAGTGTCAGTTTCCAGTTAGGCTACTATTGTTGTCTGTGTAAATGCGTGTGGGAGGGGCCCAAAGTGACATTTTGGTGCAACAAAGCTGCTTTGGAAAGTGGAAGCCATGAGGCATGCAGTGAGGCAGCACAGAGAGAGAGGTGGTGGTGGCACATCCTGGGCTGTGGTTTCAACAAACCATGACACCCTGTGCTGTGTATGTTTATTTATGTTTGAGAGGTTTCAATTAGTTTGGTTTCCAGCTGTTATGGAATGGATGGTATTGTGGATTGTTGGATCGTTTTCCGCACAATACTTTTTTCAATTTTATTTTTATTTTTTATAGTTCAGTGAGTTCATTGACTGAGTAGACATCATGGCTTACCAGATGTGCACCTGCAGTGGCACTGTTAACAGTGAGCATTAGCCTACAACGTCATAGCACAGACGTTGCATTTTCAGGTGGGTTTACCTTAAAATACTGCTGTGTGTGTGCATGGCATTCTCCCAAATACTTGTCTTCAGTTACTTTTAAATGTTCTCACGCTCCAAAACATGCCGATCAAGCCACAAACCATAAGCAATATGCCTCTTCCTGGTGCAAGTCAAATCACTCTGCTCAAAGCCAGGTGGTGGTGTCACCTACACTACCGGTCAAAAGTTTTAGAACACCTACTCATTCAAGGGTTTTTCTTTATTTTTTACGATTTTCTACATTGTAGAATAATAGTGAAGACATCAAAACTATGAAATAACACATATGGAATCGAAAAAAGTGTTAAACAAATCAAAATATATTTTATATTTGAGATTCTTCAAATAGCCACCCTTTGCCTTGATGACAGCTTTGCACACTCTTGGCATTCTCTCAACCAGCTTCACCTGGAATGCTTTTCCAACAGTCTTGAAGGAGTTCCCAAATGTGCTGAACACTTGTTGGCTGCTTTTCCTTCACTCTACAGTCCGACTCATCCCAAACCATCTCAATTTGGTTGAGGTCGGGGGATTGTGGAGGCCAGGTCATCTGATGCAGTACTCCATCACTCTCCTTCTTGGTAAAATAGCCCTTACACAGCCTGGAGGTGTGTTGGGTCATTGTCCTGTTGAAAAACAAATGATAGTCCCACTAAGCCCAAACCAGATTGGATGGCGTAATGTTGCAGAATGCTGTGGTAGCCATGCTGGTTAAGTGTGCCTTGAATTCTAAATAAATCACAGACCGTGTCACCAGCAAAGCACCCCCACACCATAACACCCCCTCCTCCGTGCTTTACGTGTAGTCACCTGTTTACAGTGTGTGACATGGATGTGTGGCCCAGCCCTGCTGTGTTAGTGAGCAGACCTGGATTTAAATAGTATTTGAAATTGTTCAAATATTTTCAGCTTTTTCTTTAGTCTGCCTGGAGTTCTAGGTGGGTAGGGTAATGTTTCCATTTTTGGGACTTTTTCTATTGGTTCTGTTGCAACAGGCAAGCTCAATCAAGCACAGCTAAATGACATATTCAAATATTAGTTAAACCCAGGTCTATGTGTGGAAACACTAGCTTCCCTGATACAGTCAGGGGAGGTGTGAACCAGATGCTCTCGCGCGCGCGCACACACACTTTGTTGGCGACGGCAACCTGTCACTCATGCCCCAGTCACATCGTCAGGATTGTCCAAAATACCCTGTAACCGTGGCATCGTGCCATTTAAACCCTCCGCCCGCTCAGTGCAGTACCTCCAGATGGAGAGAGCTCTAACCCACCTGGCTTCACCGCTGCAGACATATCTCTTCTCCTCTCGCTGCTCGTAGTCACAGGGCTTGTTGCGTTCAATTAGGATCTGGAGTCACTCACTGCATCCAACCGTAAGTGTCTGCCTGTCTGCCTGGCTGTCGGGTGTTGGGTTCGGGCTCTGGAAGGGAAAATACACTACAGGATGGGTCATCGGATATGACTAAAATGAACATTTTTAGAAACTCCAGTTTACAATTGATTGGGGTCATCCAAACTGCCTTTCTAAGTTTGTTGAATGTGATTTGCTGTCTTCAGGTGTGTGTGTGTGTGTGTGTGTGTGTGTGTGTGTGTGTGTGTGTGTGTGTGTGTGTGTGTGTGTAGAATTGTATTGTTCTACCAGTTGTTTATTGCTGTTCTTTCTGTTTCCCTCCAGGTAAGAGGAAGCCGGTGCTCACGCTCTCCAAGGAGGTGTTTGAGCAGCCTCTTCCTGCTGCCGCGTAAGACTTTTAGTCTTATTTATCTTCTTTATATCACAACTCTTTGTATTCCAACAACACTGCATTCTTCTTCTTGTGTAATTACAAAAAACGTTCACTATGCAGTTACAATGAGGTTACTAAAGTAGCCTAATACTTAGCAAAATTGTATTATTGTATTACCATGTCGTTACTAGTTTAATTACAATGTTACTTGAGTACAAAGGTACAAGAGCAACTTAATATATTAATATAAAGTGTTACCCTGTTTTTTATGAGACATGATAATATGAATGTCTTCTTTTGCACACTTTGTACAAAATAATCAAATGCAGGATGACAGGCTGTTTATAAACGTAGCTCTACTTTATTAGCTGAACTGTTGTGTAACATATGTGATCCTACTCTCTTTTGTGTTGTGTAATAAAGAAAAGAAGGTCAGCTATTGGTCCCAGTTGATCTGTGGTTTATTCTGACATAGAATGAGCACATAAGATGTGCGACATGCACCCAGATGACTGATGTAGCATGGATCGCCTGCACAGAATTATCAGACTGGGGAATAATCGATAATATAACTACAAAAATATTACAAAACACAATATGTACAGTGCCTTTGGAAAGTATTCAGACCCCTTGACTTTTTCCACATTTTGTTACGTTACAGCCTTATTCTAAAATTGATTAATTTTTTTTTTTCTCAGCAATCTACACACAATACCCCATAATAACAAAGTGAAAACAGGTTTTTAGACATTTTTGCAAATTTATTAAAAATAAAAAACATACCTTATTTACATAAGTATTCAGACCCTTTGCTATCAGACTCAAAATTGAGCTCAGGTGCATCCTGTTTCCATTGATCATCCTTCAGATGTTTCTACAACTTGATTGGAGTCCACCTGTGGTAAATTCAATTGGTTGGACATTATTTGGAAAGGCACACATCTGTCTATATAAGGTCCCACAGTTGACAGTACATGTCAGAGCAAAAACCAAGCCATGAGGTCGAAGGAATTGTCTGTAGAGCTCCGAGACAGGATTGTGTCTGTGGAGATGGGAGAACCTTCCAGAAGGACAACCATCTCTGCAGCACTCCACCAATCAGGCCTTTATGGTAGAGTGGCCAGACGGAAGCCACTCCTCAGTAAAAGGCACATGACAGCCCGCTTGGAGTTTGCCAAAAGGCACCTAAAGGACTCTCAGACCATGAGAAACAAGATTCTCTGGTCTGATGAAACCAAGATTGAACTCTTTGGCCTGAATGCCAAGCGTCACGTCTGGAGGAAACCTGGCACCATCCCTACATTGAAGCATGGTGGTGGCAGCATCATGCTGTGGGGATGTTTTTCAGCGGCAGGGAGACTAGTCAGGATCGAGGCAAAGATGAACGGAGCAAAGTACAGAGAGATCCTTGATGAAAACCTGCTCCAAAGCGCTCAGGACCTCAGACTGAGGCGAAGGTTCACCTTCCAACAGGACAACGACCCAAAGCACACAGCCAAGACAACGCAGGAGTGGCTTCGGGACACGTCTCTGAATGACCTTGAGTGGTCCAGCCAGAGCCCGGACTTGAACCCGATCGAACATCTCTGGAGAGACCTGAAAATAGCTGTGCAGCAACACTCCCCATCCAACCTGACAGAGCTTGAGAGGATCTGCAGAGAAGAATGCGTGAAACTCCCCAAATACAGGTGTGCCAAGCTTGTAGCTTCATACCCAAGAAGACTCGATGCCGTAATCACTACCAAAGGTGCTTCAACAAAGTACTGAGTAAAGTGTCTGAATACTTATGTAAATGTGATATTTCCGTTTTTTATTTTTAATAAATGCTTTGTCATTATTGGGTATTGTGTGTAGATTGATGAGGGAAAAAAATAATTACATTTTAGAATAAGGCTGTAACGTAAGAACATGTGGAAAAAGTCAAGGGGTCTGAATACTTTCCGAAGGTGACATGCACCAATATGGCTGCTGTAGCAGGGATCTGACATACACCAAGATGGCTGCTGTAGCATGGATCTGACATGCACCAAGATGACTGCTGTAACATTGATCTGACATGCACCAAGATGGCTGCTGTAGCATGGATCTGACATGCACCAAGATGGCTGCTGTAACATGGATCTGACATGCACCAAGATGGCTGCTGTAACATGGATCTGGCATGCACCAAGATGTCTGCTGTAACATGGATCTGACATGCACCAAGATGACTGCTGTTAAATGGATCTGACATGCATCAAGATGGCTGCTGTAACATGGATCTGACATGCACCAAGATGACTGCTGTAGCATGGATCTGCAGCAAGGAGAACCCACTATGTATGAGTCACGAGCTAAATGCGACCACAATTACTTCAATAGAGCATGCTAATTAATCGCTCGTACAGCAATAATGTCAATGCATGGCTAGAATTAATCAAACTCGCTCATAGTGTCTAACAGGATACTGTACATACAGTATATTATACACCAGTTAATGTATATGGTGAAATTGGAAATATGAAAATAGAACACAGCACTTCAGAACGTGACATTACATTTACATTTTAGTCCAGAGCGACTTACATTTAGTGAGTGCATACATATTTTTTTTTTCATACTGGTCCCCCATGGGAAACGAACCCACAACCCTGGCATTGCAAACGCCATGCTCTACCAACTGAGCTACACGGGACTACTGCCTGCACAGAATTATCGGACTGGGAAGAATTTATGTTCGCGATTTCCCCCTATCTGCAAGCGCAGCCAATGACATTACACCTTATTGACATCTGACTTGAACCAACCAATTAGAATACATAAACATTAAATACACATTTTTGCAGTAGCATGTGGAACCATAACAAACCACGTTACACTGGCATGTTCATGTTCGTGTCTCCGGCCATGATGAACTGCAATAACCTCACGACCTGGTTGGTCTTAACCAATCATAGCACAGTATATGACAGCAGAATGCAACCAATTACAATTCAGTATGTTGAACATGAATATTACAGGATACAATGCTGCTAAATCAATTTAATGATTCTAAAGATGTCACTGACGACTCTGTTTCCTCCCATGACTAATGAGGATAGAGAAGGCTAGTTAGAGATGACCTTTTGGATGCGTTCACCCAGTGGTTCACATACTGTTTATCTTTGGAGCAATGTGCCAGCGAATATTGTTGATATAGTACATTTTCACTGTCAAAAAGAAGATAACTCTAGACTAATGATCAGTTTCTTACATTATCGTTTAGGCTACATGCAGTTCTTCACATGAAATGTGTAAAGCATAATGAATTAATGCATACCAGGGTTCTGAATTGAGTTTCAAATTGCTCTTTAATTCCAATTCAATTATTGAAGTAGAATTGAATCAATGAAATTCAATGAAATCCAAATGGCTTATTTATTCTACACATCACCATATACATTTTTATTTTGACATTATGTATGGTTAGCAATACCATGCAGCATAAGGTTGAAACATTTAATTTTTAAAACTCATTCTTCTAAAACAATTTTTTATAATTACAGTGGTCTGGAAATATTCTAAGATCATGTTGTGGGTTGTCTATAATAATTAAGAATTCCCTTAATGTTTTTAAATATCAGAAAAAAATAATTTCCCAGAATGCATTAGCCCGAACACTGCAGTATGCAAGGGAACAATCTAACATATCATGACAAAGAAGAAAAATACTGTTTGACATCTTTTAGTTATAATCAAATTAATATTTGAAATGGTATGTGTATTTTTTGCATTAATAAGTGGCATATCCTTTTGATCAAATATTTGTCAAATGAATGAGACTTTCATGGTTCACATCTCAGTTGAATTTAATTAATTTCAATTCAATTAATTAATTAAATTCTACTTCCAATTCAATTTTAATTCAGATTCTGCATCCTGTGGGATGTGGCCAATTCAAATTAATTTCAAATTCATTGTCTGAATTTAATTAAATTCAGAAATTCCAAGTTGATCCCAACCCTGATCCATACAGATAATGTTGTACATAAACAGTTTTTTATCCTAACAACTGTCTACCTTACAGACCCCCAAGAGATTTGGATTCGAAAGCTTGTGTGACCATCGGAGAGAAGGTACCTCATCTAGTTAATGTTCAGTACGCTATCTCTAACTGTCTCACATTCTTACCTTTCATCTACCACTATGTTCTTTCCCACACATATTCCTTTGACTAAACCTTTATTTAAAACTGAAGTACTTACGTAAACATACGTTTTTACATCTGTATATAGTTGTTCTAACCTCTGTATACTTTAGGTTGAGTTAGGTCCTCTGTCTGTGGTCTGGATGCAGAAAGCTGAAAGCTGAAAGCTTGGCTCAATTAAGGGTCTGTGAGCCGTAAGGAACGGTCTAGCGAACATTACGACCCAGATTGAACACTTCTGATTGTAGGCAGACTGGAATGTGCTTTACTGCCTGACGGGCAGTAAAAATATTTATTTTAAACTCATCAAATAAGTTGAATTTTCCGTTGGCAAAGATGCCCGTTTTTTTTGTGCTACAATATAGCCTGAAGTCAAAGTCAGGGCAGCAATTTATTTTTTTGTTCTTGTATAAAGTGTAAGAAAACTAAAATGGTCCCATGATTTACGTAAACTATTCTTTCAGATGAAAAGGGACATTTGTGGCGTCTTTGGACACAACCCATCAACCCCTTAGAATAGACTATATACAGTATTTAGTGTTTCAATGTCCAAAGCTTTCCATGTTGATAAAAAACTTTTGTTGGAGTAGTTGTTTAAACAAAGACATAGCTCCGAGCCAAAGCAGCACTCTCAAACAAAGAGGAGAAGAGAGATACTCCCACCTAGAATGACCCCGTATGTTGGTAGATTAGGATTTAGTGTTTCTTGTAGTGTTTTTCGCTCTCTGTTTCTGTTTGTTTGCACAAGATGAGGATTGGGTACCAAAAACCCCAAGGACCTCTCTTTATCCCTCTCTTTTTGTGTTCAGTGATTACTTCAAGTATGGGAGAAGTAAGGGAGAATTTGACCCAGTCTTACTCTCTCTCTCTCACGTCACTGTGTCACCCATTTAATGTTTGAATCAAGCCTGACATTGCTCTCTCCCCTGTCTGGCCTGAGCAGAACTTTGTGATGAAAGCCGATGACCTGGAGCAGATTGACGAGCTGGGAAGAGGGGCGTACGGTGTGGTGGACAAGATGAGGCACATGCCCAGTGGCTTGATCATGGCAGTGAAGGTATGTGAGATTTGATGATGTTATGGATGTTCTCTTTAAGGAGATCTAGTTCAGGATACTATAGCAAAAGCACTTTGGCTGCGTTTATAGAGGCAGCCTAATTCTGATCTTTTTCCCCACTAATTGGTCTTCTGACCAATCAGATCAGCTCTTTTGTCAATAATTGGGCAAAAAATCAGAATTGGGCAGCCATAGTGACAGCTGTTGATGTAATAAGTTAGTTGGATGGATAGACTTGATTTTTTGATTGATATACGCTACATCGGCAGGATAGAATGTCTGACTCCGGTGGCGGTCTGTGTATATTTGTAAACAACAGCAGAATATCTCATGATAAACTGTAGACCACACTATTTACCAAGAGAGTTTTCATCAATATTTTTCGTAGCTGTCTATTTACCACCACAAACCGATGCTGGCACTAAGACTGCACTCAATGAGCTGTATAAGGCCATAAGCAAACAGGAAAATGCTCCTAGTGCAGGGAAACTTAAATCCGTTCTACCTCATTTCTACCAGCATGTTAAATGTGCAACCAGAGGAAAAAAAACTAAACCACCTTTACTCCACACACAGAGACACGTACAAAGCTCTCCCTCGCCGTCCATTTGGAAAATCTGACCATAATTCTATCCTCCTGATTCCTGCTTATAAGGAAAAACTAAAGCAGGAAGCACGAGTGACTCGGTTAATAAGGAAGTGGTCAGATGACGCAGATGCTAAGCTACAGGACTGTTTTGCTAGCACAGACTGGAATATGTTCCGGGATTCTTCCGATGTCATTGAGGAGTACACCACATCAGTCACTGGCTTCATCAATAAGTGCATCGATGACGTCATCCCCACAGTGACCGTACGTACATACCCCAACCAGAATCCATGGATTACAGGCAACATCTGCACTGAGCTAAAGGGTAGAGCAGCCGCTTTCAAGGAGCGGGACTCTAACCCGAACACTTATAAGAAATTGCTATGCCCTCCGACGAACCATCAAACAGGCAAAGAGTCAATACAGGACTAAGATTGAATCGTACTACACTGGCTCGGACGCTCGTCGGATGTGGCAGGGCTTGCAAACTATTACAGACTACAAAGGGAAGCACAGTCGTGAGCTGCACAGTGACACGAGCCTACCAGACAAGCTAAATAACTTCTATGCTCGCTTTGAGGCAAGCAACACTGAAGCATGCATGAGATCATCAGCTGTTCCGGATGACTATGTGATCACGCTCTCCGTAGCCGATGTGAGTAAGACTTTTAGCAGGTCAACATTCACAAGGCTGCAGGGCCAGATGGATAACCAGGATGTGTACTCCGAGCCTGCGCTGACCAACTGACAAGAGTCTTCACTGACATTTTCAACATGTCCCTGACTGAGTCTATAATACCAACATGTTTCAAGCAGACCACCATAGTCCCTGTGCTCAAGAACACTAAGATAACCTGCCTAAATGACTACCGACCAGTAGCACTCACATCTGTAGCCATGAAGTGCTTTGGAAAGGCTGGTCATGGCTCACATCAACACCATTATCCCAGAAACCCTAGACCCACTCCAATTTGCATACCGCCCCCACAGATGATGCAATCTCTATTGCACTCCACACTGCCCTTTCCCACCTAGACAAGATGAACACCTATGTGAGAATGCTGTTCATTGACTACAGCTCAGTTTTCAACACCATAGTGCCCTCAAAGCTCATCACTAAGCTAAGGACCCTGGGACTAAACACCTCCCTCTGTAACTGGATCCTGGACTTCCTGACGGGCCGCCCCCAGGTGGTAAGGGTACGTAACAACACATCTGCAACGCTGATCCTCAACACGGGGGCCCCTCAGGGGTGCATGCTCAGTCATCTACTGTACTCCCTGTTCACTCATGACTGCATGGCCAGGCACGACTCCAACACCATCATTACGTTTGCTGACGACACAACAGTGGTAGGCCTGATCACCGACAACGATGAGACAGCCTATAGGGAGGAGGTCAGAGACCTGGCCGTGTGGTGCCAGGATAGCAACCTCTCCCTCAACGTGATCAAGACAAAGGAGATGATTGTGTACTACAGGAAAAAGAAGAGGACTGAGCACGCCCCCATTCTCATCGACGGGGCTGTAGTGGAACAGGTTGAGAGCTTCAAGTTCCTTGGTGTCCACATCACCAACAAACTATCATGGTCCAAAAACACCAAGACAGTCGTGAAGAGGGCGCGACAAAGCCTATTCCCCCTTAGGAGACTGACAGCTGCACCATCGAGAGCATCCTGACTGGTTGCATCACCACCTGGTTTGGCAACTGCTCGGCCTCCAACCGCAAGGCACTACAGAGGGTAGTGCGTATGGCCCAGTACATCACTGGGGCCAAAGCTTCCTGCCATCCAGGACCTCTCTACCAGGCGGTGTCAGAAGAAGGCCCTAAAAATTGTCAAAGACTCCAGCCACCCTAGTCATAGACTGTTCTCTCTGCTACCGCACGGCAAGCGGTACCGGAGCGCCAAGTCTAGGTCCAAAAGGCTTCTTATCAGCTTCTACCCCCAAGCCATAAGACTCCTGAACAGCTAATCATGGCTACCCAGACTTTTTGCATTGTCGCCCCACCCCACCCCCTCTTTTACGCTGCTGCTACTCTCTGTTTATTATCTATGCATAGTCATTTTAACTACCCACATGTATATACAGTGGGGGAAAAAAGTATTTAGTCAGCCACCAATTGTGCAAGTTCTCCCACTTAAAAAATGAGAGAGGCCTGTAATATTCATCATAGGTACACGTCAACTATGACAGACAAATTGAGGAAAAAAATCCAGAAAATCACATTGTAGGTGGAAAATAAGTATTTGGTCACCTACAAACAAGCAAGATTTCTGGCTCTCACAGACCTGTAACTTCTTCTTTAAGAGGCTCCTCTGTATTAATGGCACCTGTTTGAACTTGTTATCAGTATAAAAGACACCTGTCCACAACCTCAAACAGTCACACTCCAAACTCCACTATGGCCAAGACCAAAGAGCTGTCAAAGGACACCAGAAACAAAATTGTAGACCTGCACCAGGCTGGGAAGACTGAATCTGCAATAGGTAAGCAGCTTGGTTTGAAGAAATCAACTGTGGGAGCAATTATTAGGAAATGGAAGACATACAAGACCACTGATAATCTCCCTCGATCTGGGGCTCCACGCAAGATCTCACCCCGTGGGGTCAAAATGATCACAAGAACGGTGAGCAAAAATCCCAGAACCACATGGGGGGACCTAGTGAATGACCTGCAGAGAGCTGGGACCAAAGTAACAAAGCCTACCATCAGTAACACACTACGCCGCCAGGGACTCAAATCCTGCAGTGCCAGACGTGTCCCCCTGCTTAAGCCAGTACATGTCCAGGCCCGTCTGAAGTTTGCTAGAGTGCATTTGGATGATCCAGAAGAGGATTGGGAGAATGTCATATGGTCAGATGAAACCAAAATAGAACTTTTTGGTAAAAACTCAACTCGTCGTGTTTGGAGGACATAGAATGCTGAGTTGCATCCAAAGAACACCATACCTACTGTGAAGCATGGGGGTGGAAACATCATGCTTTGGGGCTGTTTTTCGAAGCCACTCCTTCGTTGCCCGGGCGGTGTGTTTGGGACCAGGACGACTGATCCGTGTAAAGGAAAGAATTAATGGGGCCATGTATTGTGAGATTTTGAGTGAAAACCTCCTTCCATCAGCAAGGGCATTGAAGATGAAACGTGGCTGGGTCTTTCAGCATGACAATGATCCCAAACACACCGCCCGGGCAACGAAGGAGTGGCTTCGTAAGAAGCATTTCAAGGTCCTGGAGTGGCCTAGCCAGTCTCCAGATCTCAACCCCATAGAAAATCTTTGGAGGGAGTTGAAAGTCCATGTTGCCCAGCGACAGCCCCAAAACATCACTGCTCTAGAGGAGATCTGCATGGAGGAATGGGCCAAAATACCAGCAACAGTGTGTGAAAACCTTGTGAAGACTTACAGAAAACGTTTGACCTGTGTCATTGCCAACAAAGGGTATATAACAAAGTATTGAGAAACTTTTGTTATTGACCAAATACTTATTTTCCACCATAATTTGCAAATAAATTCATTAAAAATCCTACAATGTGATTTTCTGGATTTTTTTCCCTCATTTTGTCTGTCATAGTTGACGTGTACCTATGATGAAAATTACAGGCCTCTCTCATCTTTTTAAGTGGGAGAACTTGCACAATTGGTGGCTGACTAAATACTTTTTTCCCCCACTGTATTACCTCAATTACCTCGACTAACTTGTGCCCCCGCACATTGACTCTGTACCTGTACCCCCTATATATAGCCTCCATACTGTTATTTCATTTTACTGCTGCTCTTTAATTATTATTATTATTTATTTTTTACTCATCTATTTTTTACTTAACACTTATTTTTCTTAAAACTGCATTGTTGGTTAAGGGCTTGTAAGTAAGCATTTCACTGTAAGGTCTGCTACACCTGTTGTATTCGGCACATGTGGCAAATAAATGTTGATTTGATTTCCATTCCCTCCCACCCTAGAGGATCCGTGCCACAGTGAACACCCAGGAACAGAAGAGACTGCTGATGGACCTGGACATCTCTATGAGGACAGTAGACTGCTTCTACACAGTCACCTTCTACGGCGCACTCTTCAGAGAGGTAACTAGCTACTTTATAATAATAATACTTACATATTATAGAGTTTTTCTAAAACCCAAAGACGCTTTACAATAAACAACCTATTATTTGTTTATTTGGTCCCCATATGTTGTTGCAGTTGCAACAGCTACTCTTTCTGGGGTTCTCCTACTGACTTAGTTGATTCCTATAAGGAACATAGGCTTCCAACAATGTCATTACAAAGATGTCAGAGGACAGAGCCTTGTAGATATGCTGTTAAGTATATTGGCACCCTTGCAATTTCAAACGGAGTGCAATGGATCAGAATGTTCTATTTTCTATTTTTAAAACAGGCTATTTTTTACCCTGTCCAAAAAAAAAGAGAAGAAGATTCCTCAAGGGTTCTATGGTAAGGGTGATTGTTCTATGTTGAGCCATAATGACTCAAATAACCCTTTGAGCCCTTTAATGGTTATTTGCAGTTCAGAAAAGGGTTATTTCATCATTGAGTTATAATTCAAATGTAGGGGCAGTGGCTCATTTAGAATATCTTGAGGCGTGGTTTGCTCAGTTATTTTTGTCCAACCATGAGTGAGAGTGTCATTCCAGTTTCTCTTGTGTTATGTCATTACATGTTAAATGATGGCCAGTAACAGTGTCTTGTGAATGTTTACTAAGTCAGTGGTTCTCAATTCTCTCCTCAGGGACCCCCAGCCGTTCCAGAGCTAGTACACCTGATTCAACTTGTCAATTAACACAATAATAACGCCTAATGGAATTTTAACAATTAATGCTTCTCCAAATAACCAAAAGGTTATTTGTAGATTATTTGAGATTGAGAATGGTTCTATAAAGAACCTTTCTCCATAAAGCTTCTACAAAGAACCAGTAAAAAGGGTTCTATAGGTCGTTATCAATAAAACGTCACAGTATGGTGCAGAGCGTTCGATATGGCTGCTGGGGGGCAAGGAGACTAGCCCTGCTAAAACCATTGGTAACTAGGTGCCGTTTTCAAGGGATTGTTAAATAAATGTTATAACTATTTGGTTTTAATATCATCACCTCTTGAAGAGCATAGTCAGAACTACACATTTCAGATTATTCCACATTTAGCTCTATCATCAGAGTTATACAGCAAGTAACTGCATGCTTTTCATGATCAGTAAACATCAATTGAGCATGTATTTTCAGATACGTGAGGGTATCCTATCCATTTAGAATGTAGCTAGCTAGCTAAGCAAACAACATGCCATTTAGCTTGCTTCATCAGAGATTTGGATTTTGGAAAGAGCTTGACATCGGCAAGTCCTCATCCTGGTAAAGTTGTCAGTCGGACTACTATCATCACCACTATAGATGCAAGCAAGTCAAACAATATTTGGATATAGCCGTCTAGTTTATCCCCTGAAAGGTAGCTTGTTAACTAGCCATATTGACTTTATCTGTTATTATCTAGCTAGCCAATTTGACGTGGTCAATCAATCAATGTAGCCTATCATGTCTGTCAGCAGCAGCAATCGTGATTAAACACTCTCAAAAACAATGTTGAAAATGTTAGCTAACTTCACTAGGAAGGCCTACGTTGGTTGGAGGAAAAATAACATTAGATCTACTTATCACTATGTTTAGCCAACTGTACAAAGTTTCTACTAGTAGCTTGCAAAGTAAACATTATCAGCTAACAGTACATCGGCAAATGCACCCTTCTGCTGCTTGACAGGCAGAGCCCACAAAGGATGGGAAATTAACCTAAATCACTCATACTTGTATAGTTCACTTCTTTTCTATCACTCAAATATCCAATTAATGGTGGCCAATATTGAAAGATATTGTGAGGCTACCCTCACGTATCTGAAATTAGATGATCAATTGATGTTTACTGATCATGAAAAGCATGCAGTTACTTGCTGTATGCTATAACGCTGATGATAGAGCTGAATGTGTGCAATTGTTTTGCATGGAAGCATCTGAAATTTATATTTCTGACTATGCTCTACAAGAGGTGATGATATTACAACCAAATAGTTAACATTCATTTAACAATCCCTTAAAAACGGCACACAGTTGTCAATGGTTTTAACGTAGCTGGGGGTCTCCTTGCACCCCAGCAGCCAAATCAAACTCTCTGCACCGTAATGTGATGTTTTATTGATAACGACCTACAGTGGGGAAAAAAAGTATTTAGTCAGCCACCAATTGTGCAAGTTCTCCCACTTAAAAAGATGAGAGAGGCCTGTAATTTTCATCATAGGTACACGTCTACTATGACAGACAAATTGAGGAAAAAAAATCCAGAAAATCACATTGTAGGATTTTTAATGAATTTATTTGCAAATTATGGTGGAAAATAAGTATTTGGTCACCTACAAACAAGCAAGATTTCTGGCTCTCACAGACCTGTAACTTCTTCTTTAAGAGGCTCCTCTGTCCTCCACTCGTTACCTGTATTAATGGCACCTGTTTGAACTTGTTATCAGTATAAAAGACACCTGTCCACAACCTCAAACAGTCACACTCCAAACTCCACTATGGCCAAGACCAAAGAGCTGTCAAAGGACACCAGAAACAAAATTGTAGACCTGCACCAGGCTGGGAAGACTGAATCTGCAATAGGTAAGCAGCTTGGTTTGAAGAAATCAACTGTGGGAGCAATTATTAGGAAATGGAAGACATACAAGACCACTGATAATCTCCCTTGATCTGGGGCTCCATGCAAGATCTCACCCCGTGGGGTCAAAATGATCACAAGAACGGTGAGCAAAAATCCCAGAACCACACGGGGGGACCTAGTGAATGACCTGCAGAGAGCTGGGACCAAAGTAACAAAGCCTACCATCAGTAACACATTACGCCGCCAGGGACTCAAATCCTGCAGTGCCAGACGTGTCCCCCTGCTTAAGCCAGTACATGTCCAGGCCCGTCTGAAGTTTGCTAGAGTGCATTTGGATGATCCAGAAGAGGATTGGGAGAATGTGAAATGGTCAGATGAAACCAAAATAGAACTTTTTGGTAAAAACTCAACTCGTCGTGTTTGGAGGACAAAGAATGCTGAGTCCAAAGAACACCATACCTACTGTGAAGCATGGGGGTGGAAACATCATGCTTTGGGGCTGTTTTTCTGCAAAGGGACCAGGACGACTGATCCGTGTAAAGGAAAGAATGAATGGGGCCATGTATCGTGAGATTTTGAGTGAAAACCTCCTTCCATCAGCAAGGGCATTGAAGATGAAACGTGGCTGGGTCTTTTCAGCATGACAATGATCCCAAACACACCGCCCGGGCAACGAAGGAATGGCTTCGTAAGAAGCATTTCAAGGTCCTGGAGTGGCCTAGAAAATCTTTGGAGGGAGTTGAAGTCTGTGTTGCCCAGCAACAGCCCCAAAACATCACTGCTCTAGAGGAGATCTGCATGGAAGAATGGGCCAAAATACCAGCAACAGTGTGTGAAAACCTTGTGAAGACTTACAGAAAACGTTTGACATGTGTAATTGCCAACAAAGGGTATATAACAAAGTATTGAGAAACTTTTGTTATTGACCAAATACTTATTTTCCACCATAATTTGCAAATAAATTCATTAAAAATTCTACAATGTGATTTTCTGTTTTTTTTTCTTCTCATTTTGTCTGTCATAGTTGACGTGTACCTATGATGAAAATTACAGGCCTCTCTCATCTTTTTAAGTGGGAGAACTTGCACAATTGGTGGCTGACTAAATACTTTTTTCCCCCACTGTATATTTGACCGCATCTGTATGTTCATAGAGGCAGGTACTTAGCAACTAACTTAGGCCTCTTCCTAACTATATGGAACATAAGGCTTCCTACACTGCCATTACAGCCTAGATTTATACAATGACATTGTACTCTATGATGGGCTGCCATTCAGACCGGTAGCGTAGAGATGTGGGAGGGCAGAGCCTTTTTATGTTGTAGTCAAGATAAACAAATAAAGAATTCCTGATATTTCCGGATATAGTTACCTTCCTCCTGAAGAGAAAAGAGCGTTCCACAGGATATCCCTCTGCAGCAGAGCACATTGGAAAAAGCTCTTTCCTGTTAGTCGAACCGTGTGTCAGGAATGTGGTCTGGCTCTGTTGTGTTTTTCCAATCCCTCTCTCAACCCCTCTCTCCATCTTTCTGTCTTGCCTTTTTTCCATTGCTTATAACCCTCTTTCCATCTCTATTTCTCTCAATTTCCAATCTCTCTACCCCTCTCTCCATCTCTCCATCTCCCCCTTTCCACCCTCTCTCCATCTCTCCCTCTTACTGTATCCTCCCCTAGACTCTTATCTGAATGATGCCCCTTGTTGTGTCATCAGGGTGACGTGTGGATCTGTATGGAGCTGATGGACACTTCTCTGGATAAATTCTACAAGCAGGTGATAGATAAAGGCATGACCATCCCCGAGGACATACTGGGAAAAATGGCAGTCTCGGTGAGTAGGACTAGGGCCCAATCCAAATCGTCCCCTAAGCTCTGCGCCCTATGTATTTGCGGAGATCTGAGCGAAATTGACCGGTGTAATCATATTGGTAATAGCTCCACCTTGCCCTCTGATAGGCTATCTGGAAGTTTCAGCATATTGCTTATAACAATCAAATCCTCTCAGATCTCCACAAGTGCATAGGGTTTAGGGGATGATTTGGGATTGGCCCTACTTCCTTAATTCATGTGAGTAGGACTACAGTCATCAGTCAGCCTAGAGACCAAGATGAATAATACATGGGTTGGTTATGTGTAGGAATATACAGTATATTATGAACGTGTTGTTGTCAGATCAGTCAGTCTGTAGACCAAGAGGAATAGCCTAGTACTGTACATGGGTATACAGTACATGTAGTTGACTAAATGTGTTCATTCATGCTAGATGCTAAATATACTAAGAATGAATAAATAATAGATGCAACCATATGGATTCCCCAATCTCCTTCTTCTCTTACTGCTAATGTGTCGGTGTTCTGTTCTAATGTTCTTATGTTCTAATCTCCCTGGTTACAGGTAGTGAAGGCTCTGGAACATCTGCACAGTAACCTGTCAGTGATCCACCGAGGTAAGAACATCACAGATTTAAATGGAACATTTTATATTAAAATATGCAACTGCCAAAATAAAGGAAACACTTGAGTAAATGATGAATACAATGTAGGTTGTGGTTCCTGAGTTAATTATGCAATTAACATCCCATCATGCTTAGGGTCACATTTAAAGGGTGTGTGTGTCTCAGTCACCAGATCTCTACCCAATTGAACACATATGGGAGATTCTGGAGTGGCGCTTGAGACAGCGTTTTCCACCACCATCAACTAAACACTAAATTATGGAATTTCTTGTGGAAAAATGGTGTCGCATCCCTCCAATAGAGTTTCAGACACTTGTAGAATCTATGCCAAGACGCACTGAAGCTGTTCTGGCGGCTTGTGGTGGCCCAACGCCCTAATAAGACACTTATGTTGTTGTTTCCTTTATTTTGGCAGTTACCTGTATCATGCATCTCTATAGGGTACACCTTAAAACAGTTGGACTAGTGTCCATCCTTTAAAACCATGCCTCACCAAAGGTCAAAGTGTTGATTTCTTGTGTCTAAAACCTCAGTGTTCCAACCGTGAACCGACATGCGGCTGTTTCTGTATTAACATCGCATGTAGTAATTTAAGATGATTGCAGGTTACTAAAATAAAGTGACACAACTACGCCTAGCCAGCGACCACATTCCTGCTGCGGAAGTGTTTTGAGGGCTGTGTGTTTGAGACCGTTAACTGCTTCCCAGTTCTGTCGCTGTGGGTAACTGACACGGCAGATTAAATCAGTGATGACCCTGTTTCTCTTTCACTTCCCTCACACTCCTCTCTCTCTTCCATATCTTTCTTTCTTCCATCTCTCTCTCTCTTGCTCTCTCCTCTCTCTATATCCTTCCATCTCCTTCTCCTCCTCTCTTTCTCCCCTCCATCTCTCTCTCTCTCTCTCCCCCTCTCTCTCCCTCAGATGTGAAGCCATCGAACGTATTGATCAACACACAGGGCCAGGTGAAGATGTGTGACTTTGGGATCAGCGGTTACCTGGTGGACTCCGTGGCCAAGACCATGGATGCCGGCTGCAAGCCCTACATGGCGGTGAGCGGTTGTGTGTGTGGGTGTGTGGTAGGAGAGGTCTATGGGTTTTAAAAGAGATACAAAATAGATGTCTACTCAGTCAAAACAAACTAGAAAGGATTTAGGCTTAAAGATGCTCATGACCTAAAGCGGGTGCCCTAAACTGTTGCACAGTTGTGTACAACGTCATCCATTTCCTATGATATGTTACGTCCTGCAAAAAAGTTATACAAATAAATACATTTCCTGCAATTCATATGACATGTTACGAATTCCAATTTGTACAATATGTTACGAATTTGTAAGTGCTTAAGATCCTGTTCAATCTCTTTATGCTGGCTCAGTGAATAACTGTTTACAGAACAGAGATATGATACATGATGTTCATGTTAATTTACTATTGTACAAGTTTGAACTGCATTGGCTGCTTGCTACCTATATGTTTAAGTGCTACAGGTCTCTATGTTATGTCATTAGCCATGCCCTTTAATAACCCCAGTTAGCTTTTAACTGCTGTGTGCCCAAACAGTGTGTCCACAGAGCCTTTGATTGGCTGAGCGGTTTTTAGGGCCTGGTAGCACTCAAAGAACAGAATGGGCTGTGTGTGTTGGAGGTACAGATGACGGGGGGAGTTTGGGTCGTCTAGGACGACTAATGTCAGTTTGCTATGCTAAAGTGATATTATCCGGGTCTCGTGCTTGTGTGTGTGTGTGTGTGTGTGTGTGTGTGTGTGTGTGTGTGTGTGTGTGTGTGTGTGTGTGTGTGTGTGTGTGTGTGTGTGTGTGTGTGCGCGCGTCGTTCTGCCCCCCAGCCGGAGAGGATCAATCCAGAGACGAATCAGAAAGGCTACAATGTCAAGTCTGACATCTGGAGTTTAGGAATCACTATGGTGAGTCTCTATTAACATTTTTACTTATGCAGATTATTCATTTATTATTACAAACATATTATATGATTATTACACTAGTAGGCCTATATTATATGATTTATGAATTTCACTAGCAACCTCTGATACAGTAAGGTCTGATACAGTAACCACAGATAAAACGTTATATTTTACTTTTTCTGAATGACATTTTCTATATTGCTAGTAATAGTCCTAAATGGACAAATAAAGTTATATTGAATTGAAATGAATTCTTGTGCAAAAAGCACATGTTTTACATGTTCAAGAAAAGCCCTGCCTTCTTTCAGTGAGACATGATGACCCTCTACTGCTCTGCTCTAGACTAACTGGTGTCTCGACATTTTATCAGGAGCGCTATTAAATATTCCTATCTCTCTCATTTACACGTCCTAAATTCTGTCCCACCCAAAAACAGGTTGGTCTCAAAAGAACATGTGACGATCCTCCAACTGGCTATGGTAGTTTTCAGAAATGTAACACTGTCTAGGGCAGGGGTATTAAACTCTTACCCTACTGTTTTTCTCTTTACATGATCATTAATTGCACACACCTGGTGTCACAGGTCTAAATCAATAATGATTAGAGGGGAACAATTAAAAAACGCAGTGGAACTGGCTTCAAGGTCCAGATTGAGTTTGAGGGGTCTAGGGTCACAAATCACCCAATTTCTGGCATCTAATGACAGAATCTTTAGCTTAGTGCATTTTATGTACAATAATACAATGCTGCATTCATATTCATAGGTTGCATCTCCGTCACTAGGTCACGTCATGCCATTGTTTTGAACGTTCTCAAGCCGTCCTCTACCGGCGGCGCAATAGTGGTGCCCTAAAGTCGTGATAAGCCCAGTCATTCTGGACGGAGGCTAACGACTGTTTAGTGTAAATTACACTATAGTGCCTTGAAATACGATGACGTTGCTAAAGTAGTCAAATGTTTTGTAGGAAACAACTTTGCCAGCATTATGTTGTCAAATTTACTTTAGACAGATGGCAATGGTGTCATTAGCTAGCAAAGTTCGTCAAAAATAGCTAGCAATGCTAATGTTAGCTAGCTAAAATCAGGGGGCCTCCCCTCAATCTTAGCTAACTAGCTAACGTTATACTGCATCTAAAGTCAATCTGGCGACATCAAAATGATGATAAAAGGTTTTCCTATAAATGATTTGCATCCCTTTGAATGGTATTGTATTTACAAGCCATTGTAAGGCACTTTTGATTAAATATTTTGATTAAAATCAATATTGTGACGAAACATGCAACCCATGAATAGCCTGACCTCTACCAGTGCCCTGTTATATATTGTGCCCTGTCATATCCTGTGCCCTGTCATATCTCATGCCCAGTCATATCCTGTGCCACCCTCTTCAGATTGAGCTGGCCATCTTGCGGTTTCCCTATGACTCGTGGGGCACACCCTTCCAGCAGCTGAAGCAGGTGGTGGAGGAACCATCACCCCAGCTCCCTGTTGACCAGTTCTCCCCTGAATTTGTTGACTTCACCTCCCTGTGGTACGTTCTCCTCTCCTGTAAAGCTAGCCTGTTCCCAGATCTGTTTGGGCTGTCTTTCCAAGTCGTTGTTATGTTTGTCATGACAGTGACAATTGGAGTTGGCAAGACATCAGAAACAGATCTGGGACCAGGCTTACCTGTATATAATTTAGGCCCTCCAAATGTGTGGTCAATGTCAGTTATGTGGAGTATTTTCTTTCTGTACTTTGCCGCATCTAATTCCACTCAATATCTTGGCTATTGTATGAGTCCGACTAGAGCGCTTGCTGGATTGAGACTCACAAGTGAATTTCTCTTGACAATTTTTCCTGTTGTTGTTGTAATAGCCACAAGCACTTTATGACCAGGACAGAATGTGATGCCTGGGTTCCAGAGTCTAGGCTACCCTCTGTGGAATGTGTCTAAATATGCATTCTCACCAGCCTGTTATGTCTACCGCGCATTGTTAGGTCTTCACACCAAATATTTTGTATCTTCTCATGCCGTTTTTCCCTTCCTGCAACCCTAAAAGGTTTTACATTTGTTTTACATGTAGGCCTACAGTATAAAAGCTAAATTACATTTTTCCCAGCATAAAACCTTGCTAATGGGGGATCTTAGTCTGTTGTGTTGTACTATGTAGGCCCTAGTTTTTCGGTCTTATGGCTGTCCGAAATGGGAACCTATTACCTACAGCAGGGATGGGCAACTTTGATCGGGGTGGGGTCCACAAAAAATCTGAACTCATCATGAGGGGCCGCAGTGGTCCACATCCAAATCCCCACATGCAATCAGAGCCGGCCCTAGCCCTATACATTTTGTTGGGCCCCCCCCCCCCCCTCCTTGCGAGCGAAACATTTTAGTGGCCTCCCTCTAGACAGTGGAGAGAAAACATTTTACTTTTTAAAGTTAATGTCCTGCATTTTGACATGGGGTGTAGAGAAAATCGTCGTTTTAAAGCAAGTTTGCTGCAATTCTACTCATTTTACCATGGGCAATGATAATTTGTTTCAGTTTTACAGCTAATTTCCTGAAATTCTACTCATTTTGCCATAGGCGGAGAAACATGTTTGCAGTTTTGAATATGATATCTGAATGAGAATGATTAACAAAATCAATGGGGGCCCCCCGATCAGTAATTTGACCATGATTACTAGAAGTTTAGTTAGCTGGCTAGACTAATTTACCAATCTAAAAAATGTTAGCTGACATGGGCTAATTGAGTGACTGTCAGTTACTGATATAACAACAGAAAAACAGCTGATGCACAACCAAATTTCGAAATTGCACCGCCGACCTACAAAGGGGGTACTTAAAATATGGACACACAACGTGCAGTATGTGACCAATGAGACATTGGCTCTGGCCAAATGTAATGCACTACATACTGTAGGTCAGGGTTGCCCATCCCTGACTTACAGTATGTAGTGCATTACTTGTGGCCAGAGCCAATGTCTCATTGGTCACATACTGCACGTTGTGTGTTCATATTTTAAGTACCATATTAAGTCCCAGTATTGCTCATGCATGCAGGTATTCATCATTAATCTCTTACCAGGATGTTTTCCCCATGTTTAGCTGGGCTCTGTAAAGGTCAGAGGTTAAAGCAGGACTTTCCAGCAGTGGATCACAGCATTGTTTTATACCTTAGTGACTCAACTGTTTACCAGACCATTGATAATTGGAAGACCTGAGTAAACCTCTCCTCTGGCTTGAATAGAGACTATCCTTCTGTGGAAGAGGGTTAATAAACATGTAATGGGGGGCGGTGGGGATATGCTTACCTCACCCCACAATATGGGCACACACACACACTGAGAGATCTGTCTATTGAAGGGCAGTAGGGATAGGATGCAGACACACTGATGACGTCCTCTGGTTTAGCTACTCTACTCCCACATGGAGCATAGATCACAGGATGAACACTTGAATACTCTATCTCTCTCACTCTCTTTTCTTCTCAACTCATCTTTTTACCCCGTTGACAGTTCCATGTCCGCTTGCATCTGATGCAATCATTGTCTGCCTGGAGTAGAGTGGAGCGGGTGACACATTACCAGATACGAGTAATCTAACAGTATCTCTGTATGAATCATAGACATTGCAGTTGTAATCCTTTGTCTCATTGCCCTTTTCATTCCCAGCTTAAAGAAAAATTCAAAAGAGCGGCCAAACTACCCAGAACTCATGGTGAGTGTGTTTTGAACTTTGGAGATGTCTTATTATTTAGTTACACACTTTATTTTCAACTCTAAGAAATGCTCAATAACAAATTGATGTGACCATGTCCACTTCCATTACTATCAGTTCACCACTAGATGGCAGACTTAGTCCAGTAATACTTTATGTTTTGTAATCATCTCCCCACTAAATGTATATCCCATCAGTGCTATTGAGTATATATCAAACTTTTGTTGAGTATGTTATTGTAATACTTTATTTGATTTTGCATAAATCACTTAAATTGTCTCTTCTTCTCTCGTTTATATTCTTCTCTTTATCCCAGCAACATCCCTTTTCATCTCCCATGAATCGAAAGAGACTGACGTGGCTAGCTTTGTCAAGGTCGTCCTCGGGGACTGATGAGCCCCACGCCCTGATCTAAGACAACGCTCTGACCAATTGCCACAGGGGGAGGTGGACCTACAAAGAAAAGCACCAATCGCAAACCATGTTACCTGCGGGACCCCACTGCCTCCCCAGTCCCCGACCCCTCCCTCTGGGCCAGTAGAGGAACTCAGAGGAGATGAATAAGGAGAATGATACCATGTTGGAGGAATGAGGAGTTAGCCTTAAGGCTTCAAGGCCCTCATATTAGATATGGGCAGGGGGGGCAACGTGGAAATTACTGTCATTTTGAGGATTGGAGGGCCGGCCCGTGTGAAATCTGGATTAATTTAAATATATGATGATATTTGTATGAAATGCGACTCCCCCCGACCTCTAATTTTGTCCCACTCTTGTTACTGTACTAGACCCACTGCTTAAACAGTGATTTGGCAGTTCGATGTTAGTGAATTTAGCAACGTGTGGATTATGCCCTGTCCTATTGGTCAATCCCTATTTTTAAACCTGGTGTGAAAACATAAAACTGAGTTTTAAAAACAACTAAAAGTGATATGAATATATCTACTGTATGTATAATCTAAATGTTTGTATTATACTCAAAGCAAGTTGCATTGGTTTACTAATTGACTGCACATGTACATAAAATATTTAGTATAGAATGAGTGGGTTTCAGTCCCCTTAGATAGGCAGATAGTTACAGAGAGATTTCAGATTCTCTGACTGTCCAATGGTTGAGCTGTAGACAGGCTGGAGGCCTCAGTCAGCACTGCAGTGGGTTCGTCAAATAAGTTACACGTTGTGTGTGTGTGTGTGTGTGTGTGTGTGTGTGTGTGTGTGTGTGTGTGTGTGTGTGTGTGTGTGTGTCTGTGTGTGTGTGTGTCTGTGTGTGTGTGTGTCTGTGTGTGTGTGTGTGTGTGTTGTGTGTAAAGTGAGTTATATGTGGACGATGTCGTTGTGGTCAGTTGTGGGAGGGATGCATCTAGACCTTCCTAGTCACTTCCTGAATATTCCTCTGTTCTGAACCAATCACAAGACTCCCCACTCTATGTTCAACTCGAATAGAACTTGAGATAATAGTTATACAATTATTATTATTACATTATTATTATTATTATTACAATATTATTACCTATACTGTTATTATTATTTTAAAGATATATAGCTTATATTTATTTATACTGATGAAATACAGTATACTGCAGTTTGCTTATTTATTAACTGCTGTTTTCCCTTTGAAAACTTTACATTAACAATAGAGAACTTTCTTATTTTACAGTGTGTGGTGTGTGTGTGTATTTGTTGTGTGTTGCTCTTGACAGGTAATGCTTTATTCAAACAGTTACTCATAACACAAGCCTTATACACTGATTATACAAAACATTAAGGACAGCTGCTCTTTCCATGACCCGTTGAATCCAGGTGAAAGCTATGATCCCTTATTGATGTCACTTGTTAAATCCACTTCAATCAGTGTAGATGAAGGGGATAAGACAGGTTAAATAATGATTTTTAAGCCTTGAGACAATTGAGACGTGGATTGTGTATGTGTGCCATTCAGTGGGTTAATGGGCAAGACAAAATATTGAAGTGCCTTTGAACAGGGTATGGTAGTAGGTGCCAGGCGCACCGGTGCAACTCAATATTAGGAAGGTGTTCCTAATGTTTGGTATACTCGGTGTATGTGGCGCTCTAACAAGTCAGAAAACAAAAGGAGAAATGTTGACAGTGAAAGAGATGTACTGTATCTTCGACCACTTTATTCACTCAGCATGTGCCCCTTTCTGTCCAATTGGGTCCTTTCTGGACAATATTTAGGGGACCCCTTTTGGCTCAAGAGCAAACATAATGTACAGTATAGTCTTTTATGTGCAGTGTCAGCCCCTCCACATTTCTCTACATTATCAAATGTACTGTACCGGCTTAAACACTGCAGGATTATATACGTAGGCTCAACATTAGCTTGCATAGGTTACATAATTAAGCTTTTTCCGCACTTAACCTCTCCACCCCACTTACCGAAACCCAGTCTCCTTTATAGTAACCCAGGCTACTTAATAACTAACAGTGTCAGCCCCTCCAAATTTTTCTATATCATCAAATTTACAGTGCCTTCTGAATGTATTCACAACCCTTGACTTTTTCCACATTTTGATGTGTTACAGTTTGAATTTAAAATGGATTGAAATAAGATAATTTTTTTGTCACTGGCCTACACACAAAATATTTTCATAATTAAAAGGTTGACACATTACCTTTAGCTACAGGATATCTCACCACCATACGTATCCATCTCCTCTCTCTCTCTCTCTCTCTCTCTCTCTCTCCTCTTCCCCCCCCCCCCCCCTCCAGCACGCAGAGAGGGGGCTGTCAACTGTTTAATGAAATATGTTTCGTTGTGAAAACATGCTACTATCGATGTTCCCGAACAGATTTCACTTTTCCCGAACAGTTTCCCAAATTAAGCACTGGGTAGCTGCAGGAACAGGGTTGGAGAGCCCATGGCATACAGAGTTTGGGCGGAATATCACCTGCCGCGCAGCCAGAGGCTGCATGCTCCTCAAACAGTGGTTGATGCGTGGAGTAAAATAAGTGTTCTTATAAGCCCAGACATTTCTGTATTAAAAACTAAAAACTATGTTTAAAATCAGAATATGCCATTGGTCTGAAGCTGAAAAAGAAAGGAAATTCACATTAGCACCACAATGACTATTCCACCCATGCTCTACCAAGGTTTTCCACCACAAAGCTTTGACCTACAGTAGCTATGTTGGTATTGTACTTCAAAATATGTGTATGCAGGTTGCATAGGATTCAAACCTCCCACTCCGTTTCAAATCCGGACTAGCCTTTGGATTACATCTTTTTTCCCCTGCCCCGGTTCCTGCCCATTTGATAATGGCCAATTCTAAATCGAAACTAATTTGACATATTAGTAAAGACAATATTAAATTGGGGATAGTCTGATTGGTGAAAATATGATCACTTGATGAGAGAACAGCCTATCGTCGCATCATGCAGCCGATATATGCTTTGATTTCTAAGACATTCAAAGGTTTATCATTCACAACTAAAGTTTCCAAATAACTCTAAATCTATCATAAAGGACCTGTTTAAAATTATCATGTTTACACTCAACATAGCCACTTCATATGCGCACTCGCTCCAGAATTGGAAAAATATCCTTTGTATTTTTTTCAGTTAAATTCAATTAGAATCTTCTTTCTATAAAATCATATAATATATTTTTTAAAGGCACGGGACTTGTAAGCATATCTTGTCTGCTAAATTAACTAGCCTACAGCCTATGACATGGCGCATAGCCAGATAACAGACCGTTGGCCAACTCATATTCTATTCTTCTGAAATACATTTTCTTCATATCATAATGCATCTTTAGACCTGCCTAAAATAAATAATGGATTTATTGTGGTGGTGTATATTAAATAGATTTATTAGACTTTTTTAAAAAATGTACTGTAGATGTTCCAAAGGCGCGCATCAACGGCTTCTATGTGTGGAGGCCTGGAGATGCTAAACTTGTTTATGTTAATTAATGGTAAATTACTGTGAGACCGGCAGTAATTTGCATGAGTAACCGGCTGACAAAATGTCATGACCTCAACAGCCCTAGGTATTATCACATTTTAATAATGAATTACACACTTCTTTATCAACACATTGTTACCAGTTTGTCAGCTTGTGCTTTTGTGTGTGTCCTGCTTTTGAAACTTCCAACAGTCTTTTAAGTAAAATAGTTCTATATTATTTAAATGCTGCTTAACAAGATTACAAAGATAAAGAATTACAAACTGCATACATTCATACCTGTATTCCTGTCTCAAAGACCCAGATTTGAATATGTTGTAAATTAGTGTTAAAGGCAACTGTGTTAATGAAGTGTTAGGGCAGCTGTGTTAACGAAGTGTTAGGGCAGCTGTGTTCTCTGTGCCACCTTGGTGTTGAGTCCCACTCTTCTCTTTTGTCCTATTGTCCAGAAGCGTGTTCTACTCTGTAAACTATACAAACATCCATGCATTGATGTCCTCCACTTGTCTGTAGAGGCAATCAGCCCTGGGCTATAAAACCTTTCCTGTCCTTCATATCTGTTGCTGCACCTTTCTTTCAGCTCTCTAACTTTGCCGATAACTTCTTCATTGAGGAAAATGTACTTACTACGATTGTGATATGTGGTTGCCTCGCCAAGCTATCTTAAGATGAATGCACTAACTGTAAGTCGCTCTGGATAAGAGCATCTGCTAAATGTAAAAATGTAAATGTCTCACTACCATCCAAGACTCCATACCTTTCATTACCAGACCCCCTGCATTCCACATTAGTGGACCTATTGTCCTTTGTCCCTTGGCATGACAGATACAGTACATGCTGTGCCATCAACAGACATGATTGCTAGGGTCTGCTCACCCACAATGTGGCACTGATTGTATCCCAGCACTGTTCAAAATAATGTCTCTTTTGAATAGTGTTCCACTGTTAGAAACTAAAAGCCCATTCTCCGATGGTCCTCTTCCATAACTGATACTGTCTGACATTCTATGTTTTATCATATTAGATTAGACTGAAGATGGATTATAGAACCACTAGATGGAAGTCATAGGTCATACTTTTAATTTAGCATAGACAAAAATACTGCTTTTGTAATGGACAGGCAGCCCAACTCTGATATTTTTTTCACTAATTTCTGTTTTGACCAATCAGATCGGCTCTGAAAAAGATTTGATGTGAAAATATCTGATGTGATTGGTGAAAATGCGAATCAGTGGAAAAAGATCAGAATTGTAATGCCGGTATGTCCAGTAATCTCCATCCATCTCCCCCAATTTTGAATTGGTCCCATCATTCATGCTTGCTTTAAAAAAAAAAGTATAGCTTCTAACTCTACACGCTCGCACTTTCCATTAAAACAATTATTTTAGTCATTTAGCAGACGCTCTTATCCAGAGCGACTTACCGTTAAGTGCATACATTTTTCATACTGGCCCCCCGTGGGAAACAAACCCACAACCCTGGCGTTGCAAGCGCCATGCTCTACCAACTGAGCTACACGGGGCCCCACACTATCTCTCTCATACTGAACTCTGTCCAGTCCTGTTTCTTTCCTGGAAAGAGCCCTGAGCCCTAGTGTGACCACTGTGAGTCTTGTGACCACCCTCTTATGTCCTGGCCAGGCCCCTTTGGCTGCGTTTAGACAGGCAGCCCAATTCTGATATTTTTCCACTAATTTGTCTTTTGACCAATCACATCAGAACTTTTCACTTCAGATCTTTTTTAGAGCTGATCTGATTGGTCAAAAGACCAATTAGTGAAAATAAGATCAGAATTGGGTTGCCTGTCTAAATGCAGCTTAATAGGCCCAGTCTCCTCTCTATTCCCGATGTCACAGGAAGGCCAAAAATATCATCAAGGACATCAACCACCCGAGCCACTGCCTGTTCACCCCGCTATCATCCAGAAGGCGAGGTCAGTACAGGTGCATCAAAGCTGGGACCGAGAGAATGAAAAACAGCTTCTATCTCAAGAACATCCGACTGTTAAATAGCCATCACTAGCACATTAGAGGCTGCTGCTGCCTATTGAAATCACTGGCCACTTTAAGAAATGGAACACTAGTCACTTTAATAATGTTTACATATCTTGCACTACTCATCTCATATGTATATACTGCATTCTATTCTATAATATATGTCTATATCTTAGTCCATGCCGCTCTGTCATTGCTTGTCCATACAGTGAGGGGAAAAAAGTATTTGATCCCCTGCTGATTTTGTACGTTTGCCCACTGACAAAGACATGATCAGTCTAT